CCACAGCTCCAAAAATCCATTTAGTAACTGATCCATTGCAAGAGAAGAGCATGTCAGGATATAAATACTGCCGTCTACTGGAAAACATTTGTGATTGCTGTACTTTAAAACCATATTCTCTAACAATTGAAGGAGTGATTGAATTGATGCTGTTAACACAGTATCCATCTAATGATAGTAATAATAATTTACAATGAAAATGCATTATAAATATACCTGTTACTGGATATATTAAGATCAACTGATTGGTGATTAAAGGGTTGTTTAAGTTGACACCACTTCTAGTGCCAAATGCATATTGGCTGCTACTGAATCTGACTCCTTGAACATTATCAATGTAATGTACTCTAACTATGCTAAAGGCTGGAGATGGTTGTGATACAGCTAGCAGGTCTCCACTCATTACTGGTATAGGAGGATTGAGTGGATATTCAAACACTCCACTGGTACTGACATTACTAGTCCCATAATAGATAACTCTCTCGCTTCCAATCACTAGGTCATATTGACTGCTGCCACCAATTTTTCGAAAGACCTGAACACTTGGAAAAAGTCTAAGACCTGCTCTTACATCAATCCCCATTATAAGACTGGTTATAGTAGATGAACAATTGAACTGGTACTCATGCAAGACTCTGACTGCCTCAGTTAAGGGACTTCCAATTGCACTGCTTCTTAGATTCTTTGTTCTGTATCTGACCAGTGATTGACTCATGAATCTAGTACACTCTTGCTCCAGTCCTTGAGCAGCATTGATATCTAAAGTTAAAAATGAATGAGAATATTAGATCATGCAATTTAATACAACTAACAATATAAGAGACAAGAAAAACACAACATAGCCAGCAGCTTCATTTTTTTCCTCTAGTAGATCTATAAGTATTTCCTTAAGCAAAGTTCATATTAAATATTGGTTTGTACCTTTGATGTGGTCAGCAACCTGCTAGATGAAGAGTAGAATTAGTCCCAAGGTCATGCTATGTGACATCATCACAATTAACATTTATTTGGACATTAGGGAAATAATTTTATTTGAACATCAGTGAAATAATTCTTCAATTATCCAGTATGCATAGCTAGCACTGCAAATGTTATTTTAAGCAACTTTAATTGAAAGTGTTCTGTAATTAAAGTCATCTAATATTTAATCCAGACATAATTGTAAATAATTTATTGTAAACTCAATGAGTGCTTCAAAATTCTATCTATTGTGATCATGTGATACAGATCCATCAATGTACTCATCTGGTATCTTAATTGCTACAAGCATGAGCAGAGTTTCCTTCAAACTTTCTATACTACATAAGAACATGTACACACAAAAAATGAGTGTGTTATTTGGTACACATTTCACTGTGTTGTTCTGCCTGTAGGTGTGCTAAATTACTAAAACAGCACACTAAGTGTGCTGTTTCAACACATACACACTTCAACCATTAAATTAACACACCTAGTTGTCATAGAAACATACTGACCCTCCTACTTTTATCAACAGGGAGCCAGACAACTTAGACCAGTACAAATTAGCTCTGTTTTCCTCTTAAACAGGTAAATTCAGCTTATATTCCTTTATAATATGGTTGTGTAAATCATTTTGTTACTATGCAGTTGATTTCAATAAGGGTGTGCATTATGTCAAAAGGTAATATTGAATTATAGGGGCTATCTGTGATCAGACATATTGGCTTCATTCCTTCTTTGAGGTGACTTAACTGACATGGGACTCTTGAAGGTATTGTGTTTGTATGATGATTCCTTAATTGGCCGATAATGCATGTACATTGTATGTCCATATGCCAATAATACATGTACATTGTATGTCCATATGCCAATAATACATGTACATTGTATGTCCGTATGCCAATAATACATGTACATTGTATGTCCGTATGCCAATAATACATGTACATTGTATGTCCGTATGCCAATAATACATGCCCTTGTGAAAAATCCCAGCAAGATCTTATAAGGTTTTTTATGATTTCACATGATTATACAAGAAAACATAAGATAGTAATCTTGTAAAATCTTAACACAGAAATTCTTGCAAATTCTTATTTAAGATTTGATAAGATTTGAACAACCTGTCAGATCTTGTGAGATCTATCATAACTATAATTCTTGTAAGAATTTTAAAGATCTTATGAATAAAGGAGTATGTCAGAAAATGTAAGATCATGCCTCACTTAAATCTTGTAATACCACACCTTGTAAGAACTAAGATGATCTTGTTAAATTGAAATCTAATAAGATCTTACAAAATCTAGTAAGTTTATGATCTTGAAGAATCATCCATGATCACACGACACATAAGATCACTCATTAAGTCATAAAAGATCTTGAAAGATCTTACAAATTGCATGACGTCACAGGAAGTGGTAGACAACCCACGATAGCCTTTACGATAATGGCAGTATATAAAGAAAGTAAAATTTCAACATAATTAAGTCGAAAAGTTAATGAAGTTCACCATTAACCTTCACATCATTAAGTAATTCATTAATGCAATGTAAGATCTTGCTCAGATCTTACTGTTACATCTATTTTTCATAAGCTGAAACTTCATGTAAGAACTCAGCTAATATTTAAAAATCTTGATAAAGCAAGATCCCATGATATCTTCCATGTTCTTTGTTTCAAAATCAGGTGAGATCTTGTTATGATCTTAAGGTAAGATCTTGCTGTGATCTTCTAAAAATTTGGTAAGATCTTGAGAAAGATCCTGTAAGATTTCGCTTACATTTTGATAGCAAGATCTAACACTATCTTACATAATCTTTGTTTCAAAATCAGGTAAAATCTTGTGAAATATTAGCAAGAATCTTGTTAAGAATTTTAAAGAAACTTAACAAGAATCTTGCTGGGATTTTTCACAAGGGTGTACATTGTATGTCCGTATGCCAATAATACATGTACATTGTATGTTCGTATGCCAATAATACATGTACATTGTATGTCCGTATGCCAATAATACATGCCCTTGTGAAAAATCCCAGCAAGATCTTATAAGGTTTTTCATGATTTCACATGATTATACAAGAAAACATAAGATAGTAATCTTGTAAAATCTTAACACAGAAATTCTTGCAAATTCTTATTTAAGATTTGATAAGATTTGAACAACCTGTCAGATCTTGTAAGATCTATCATAACTATAATTCTTGTAAGAATTTTAAAGATCTTATGAATAAAGGAGTATGTCAGAAAATGTAAGATCATGCCTCACTTAAATCTTGTAATACCACACCTTGTAAGAACTAAGATGATCTTGTTAAATTGAAATCTAATAAGATCTTACAAAATCTAGTAAGTTTATGATCTTGAAGAATCATCCATGATCACACGACACATAAGATCACTCATTAAGTCATAAAAGAT